TGGAAGGGTGGTCAGAATCATATATGATTTCCATACCCGAAAAGGGGAACGGATAAGTCCCGGGGGGGGGGGGTAGAGTCTATTCTTTTTCCAGACAGGAGAATCAACGTGCACGGGCGAACCGCTCTCTCATGCGGCACCTAGGATTATTGAACGCACGTGAAGCGCTCGTCGCAGTGGGTTCCATTCGGTGACGATTTCCTGCGTCCTCCATCGGTGCGGTGCGCAGGGCGTGGCCTGCAGCGATGAATTCTCGGTATTATCGCTTTTGCAGTAACGTAGATGGACTTCGCCCGGCGGCCTTGGGCAGCAGGTGCCATCTCTTTCATGTGTTGGGTCCTTTCTCATCATAGTCCTCCAGTCCGTCCTGTCCAACAGCCAAACTTTGGTTGGGCCACCGCAAGCAAAGGTGATGCATGTAAAACGCCCATTCTTCCGCACATGGCACAATGCGAGAATTCCTGCGATCTTGGGCCGCTTCAGTGCCAGGTGGCGTGGGATGTCTGGGTACCGTCCCAGGGCCAGCTGGAAGCCCAGAGACCGTCATTTGTTGAGGAGGATTGTCGCCCTGAGCGCGGGGCGCGACGAACGCCACTTACAATGCAGTCCGGCATTTGAAGGTTGGATTGGGGAGGCTGGCGGTTGTAAAGCTCGAGCAAAGTTCATTCTTCACAAGAGCAGCACTGGGCTACTGTTTGTTCCGTGGCCCTCAGGCTCGACCCGCTCAGCGCAGCGAGGGTGCAGGGGGGGTCGTGCGAAGTCCCCGCCGAGCTCGCGCAAGTTTATTGCCCAGTATTTCGGTACAGCATTTGCAACGAAACGATCAGCATCATCAACATCACGTTCCCATCCCATTCCCTCCCCTTTCCTCTTCTCCCGCCCCTTCCCCTTCTCTCCTTCCCTTCCCCTCCCTTCCCTCCCCTCCCATTCCCCCGCTTTGCAGGAAGATTTCCCTCCATCCGTGCGGTTCCGGGATGCTTCAGACCTACTGGCCATCGAGTCACCCTCGCCTCCCTCCCCTCCCGCTCTCTCGAGGGAGGAAAAGGTACCCGTACCGCTACACTTCGCCCGTTTTCCTTTTTTTGGGGCTTGTTCGGAGGTTGTCGTCGCCACCAGTGGATTCGCCTTCAGATTGTGGCCAGAACGCACCCCGGAAAGGTCCAGGGAAAGCGGTATTGGTACCTCTTGGGTGCCCCAGTTCCCGCGCTCCTTTTGCTGTTCATGAGGCGATGCGCATATTGTCCGCCCGTGGGTGGATAAGGGATTGTATTGCTCATGCAGCGTTTGGCCGATCTTGCGCTGGATTCTTCGTCAGCCTTCCAGGGGACCGCTCTGGCACCAGAACTGGCGTGCATACCGCGTTGGTCATGGCGCCAACATTACAGAGCGGATTTCGTTCGGAAAATGGTGGGATGGGCCCGGAGTGTCCTGGATAATTTCGCTCCGCATTTCGAGGTGCATTTCGTTCGGATTGTTTTTTGGCCTGGAATGAACACGAAAAAAAAACCGCGAAATTCACGACGGTTTTCACTCGCTGGTTCGGGGCCTTGCATGAACATAGATCCACGCAGAAATCCGCTGCAGGCGCGTCTGCAAGGTCGGTGCAGTGACACTGGTCAGAAAGCCGAACCACGTGCCAGTCTCAGGCGACAGCCCTCTTTTGAAGATGGGCGGCCGTCCATCCGCGGAACTGCTGGAAGCTTCTAGGGCGACCGTGCGTGGCGTCCAGGCGAGGGCCATCTCTTGAAAGCGGTGCGGTGACGTTGGTCATAAAGCCGAGCCAAGTACAAGTCTCAGGCGACAGCCCTCTTTTGAAGATGGGCGGCCGTCCATCCGTGGAACTGCTGGGAGCTTCTAGGGCGAACGTGCGCGGCGTCCAGGCGTGCGCGGCGTCCAGGCGACAGCCCTATTATGAGAATGGGCGGCCGTCCATCTGTGGAACTGCTGGGAGCTTCTAGGACGAACGTGCGCGGCGTCCAGGCGAGGGCCATCTCTTGACAGCGGCCCGCCCCTCCTCCGTGCAGCTGCCCGGAGGCATCCGGCACGAGTGCGAGAGGGCGTCGATGCGATAGGCACCTCTTTGGCGAACGACCCGCCCTCTGCTGGGAGCCTCGGAGACGACTGTTTGCCGGGCGGTGAGGCGTAACATGGCGAAACCGCTCACGCGCACCCGCCGGTTGTCTTCAGCGTCGGGACGTGGCACTCCCAGCACGTCTCCGGCGAATTGCCCGGCCCGGCCCACGGACACACGTCTGGCGGTGCGACGGGGAGAACAGGGGCGGAGAAGAAGCAGGACGCCGACGAATCGGAACGGGGAAGGGGGAGCGAGGAGGGAAGAGGAGACACGAGGGAGAATGCGGAAAAGGGAATAGAGGGAGGAACGACGGGGGAAGACCGACGGAGGAGGGGGGGGAGGACAAGCAGGAGGGAAAAGGAGGAGGGAGAAGGAAGTAAAAAAAAGAAGACGCGAGAGGGTGAGTGGGGGCGAGGCGGAGGTGCAGGAGGAGCGGCCGCATGGGCGTGGCTGTCGGAGGATTGGCCACCGGGGAGGGGGGGGATTTATTGTGTTTTTGGTGGGAGAACCGGGGCGGGAGAGGTGAGGAGCGATGGCGATCGAGAAACAACAAGTGCATTCACATAATTCTCAAAAACAGGAGCGGTCCGCGCGGACTTTTGAGATTTGCGCTTGGACCTCCGGACGGCGCCTCCAGCGCCGCCCTAGGCGCGCTGCGCGTGCCGAGGAGGGCTCCAGCTCAGGTCCAAGAAGTCCGCGCGGACCATCAGCAGTCTGTGCTTGTGCCGTTTCGTGTTCGTCCAGGTTACAGTCAAAAACCCTACTAAGGACGCGCGACTTTGCTCAGGGTGCCCTTGCGTCCTGGCTCTTCCTTGCTCCTGCGTCCTTGGGGTTTTCGTCGTCCGCCGCCCCAGAAATCCCAACTTCGGCTTCCAGGGGTCTTGCGTCCTTACCGCACGTCCTTCTTGGAGAGGCCTGACGGCCGGTGCCGCCGACCCTGATCGAAAGGGCTAGGAGTGGGGGGAGGAAGCGGAGGATGAGGATGAGGAGGAGGAGGAGGATGCGGAGGAGGATGCGGAGGAGGAGGAGGAGGAGGAGGAGGAGGAGGAGGAGGAGAAGGAGGAGGAGGAGCAGGAGGAGGAGGAGGAGGAGGAAAAGGAGGAGGAGGAGGAGGAGGAAGCGGAGGAGGAGGAGGAGGAACTTCGGCTTCTAGGGGTCTTGCGTCCTTGCCGCGCGTCGTTATTAGGGTTTTTGACTGTAGGGGGGCCCAGGGGAGTGGGAGGCGGGCGCAGAGAGCAGGACGAGGGGCAGTGGGCGGGAAGAGTGCGGGCAGACCCCCCCCCTCCCTCCCTCCCTCCCTCCCGTTCCAAATCAGATCCCACGCCAAAATTGATCATCCTGGCATCGCTCGGACGCGTGCATGTTGCTCTCGCCGAGGACTGCCGAGGGGCATCTAGGACCATCGTGCGAGAAAGTAGCCGTTTTCCGTCGCAGCGCGGCAGAGGCGATCCGCACGCGCGTCCGGGGAACGCCAGGGCACGAGGTTACAAATCAGCCCGCATGCAAGAGGGAGGGAAAAGAGGGCAGGCGGCCGAAACGTACACACACACACACACACGCACACGCACACGCACACGCACACGCACACACGCACACACGCACACACGCACACACACAACACACAACACACAACACACAACACACAACACACAACACACAACACACAACACACAACACACAACACACAACACACAACACACAACACACAACACACAACACACAACACACAACACACAACACACAACACACAACACACAACACACAAACACAACACACAACACACAACACACAACACACAACACACACACAACACACAACACACAACACACAACACACAACACACAACACAAACACACAACACACAACACACAACACACAAACACACACAACACACAACACACAACACACAACACACAACACACAACACACAACACACAACACACAACACACAACACACAACACACAACACACAACACACAACACACAACACACAACACACAACACACAACACACAACACACAACACACAACACACAACACACAACACACAACACACACACACAACACACAACACACAACACACAACACACCACACACCACACACACCACACACCACACACCACACACCACACACCACACACCACACACCACACACCACACACACCACACACACACCACACACACACACACGAAACCGACGAATGCACAGGGAATGGACGTCCGAGCGATGTAGAGTCATGGGGGAGGGGGGGAAGACGAGTGCATGGTGCCTGGTGCCGCTTGTGCCGAGTAGCGCCCGCAGCCAAGACAGCGGCGCCCGGGACACTCCGGGACACTCGCCGCCCGCCATATGTCAGGAGAGGAAAAACACACAGACACAATTCATCTTCGGCTCCCCAGAAAATATGGGAACACATGGGAAGTGGGGGGGAAGACAAAAACCCAGAAAGTATAGGAAAACATAGGGAATCTGTTTATCTGTGTGTATCTATTCGTGTGTCCTGGGGCCCCTTCATTATGTTCCTTCTTTGTTCCACCCTTTCCTTCACCACCCACCAAGCCACCTCAGCCCAACCCGAAGGCCCAGGCTTGCTCTCTGTTTCCGGTGCGGGAGTGTCGGGGATCCTTGGAAGAACACGTGGAACCCGTACCCCCTAGGCGATGCTTAAGAAAATTTAAGTGTTTGGCCAGAGTCTCGAGTATTCTTGATGTTTCAATGTAAATCCTATGATTTTAATAGAAATTCTGGGTCTTTATTCAAATTCTGAGACTCTGAGTTTCTTAACCCATGATTTCTTAAGCATTTCGCAGGGTGTGCCCTCCAAAGACCCCCAATGTGGGTCTGCAGGTCAGGTCGGGGTGGTCTGGCAGGCAGACCTCACCTGCTGGCGCACTGTCCACTCCGCCGCGCTCGGCCCCGCGCCCAGGGAGCAGAGTCCATGCATCCGCACTGCCAGGCCGCAGGGCGGCCGTCTGAGGAGGAGGAGGAGGAGGAGGAGGAGGAGGAGGAGGAGGAGGAGGATGGCGAGGAGGACGGGGAGGACGGTGACGAGGAGGACGAGGAGGGCGAGGGAGGACCAGGAGGAGGAGGAGGATGACGAGGAGGAGGAGGAGGACGAGGAGGAGACGGAGGAGGAGGAGGAGCGGGGGGAGGAGGAGGAGCGGGGGGAGGAGGATGAGGAGGAGGAGGAGGTCGAGGACTGGAAGCGGGGTTATCGAGTATTTTGGAAGCATCCATCTCGTCCTTCCCCCCTCTTCCTTTTCTCGTTTCGGCCTCCTTCCTTCTTCTAGACGCGTTCCTGGTCATCCAAATGTTGTTCGCTGCCCCCTTCCGCTCATCGAATGGACGTGCTGACTTGCGAGTGAAACGTGCAACGAGACTTTGTTATGCCCCTCCCATTCTGGGACAGGTCCAGGGAGCGATGTTTACGTAATGTGGGGGGCATAGCGCTTGGCTTCGTGAAGCAATTGTGACGGAAGGTTTTTTGGGGTGGCAAGTTTCATCCATTGGGATCTTCTTCCTCCACCTCCGATGGGGAGGGGGCGCCTTGCAGGGGTCTCGCCTGAATTGCCGCGTCCGATTGGCGTGGCGGTGTTTGTAATAGTAGTGGTGGTGGTCGTAATGGCGGCGGCCACGGGAGTTGCTACGGCCGCAGAGGTGGTGGCAGCGATAGCGGTCGTGGTGAATGGTGAGTTTGGTGTTAGTTGTAGTGGTGTTATTGGGACGTGGGGATGGTAGTACGTAGGTGTTGGTGGTGGCGGCGGTGGGGGAGGGGAAGCGAGCGTCATCCTGTCGTTCTTGCCTGTAATCCCAGCCTCGTGTTCGAGGCATTCTTCGACTACTGCCGTGAAAACGACATCGTGCCCAGGATGAAGGGCCAGCCTGACGGGCACGAGGAGAAGACGCGAGGAGGTGGTGGAGGAGGAGGAGGAGGAGGAGGAGGAGGGGGAGGGGGAGGAGAACAAGGAGGGTAAGAGGGAGAAAGCGGGGGAGGCGGGAGGAAGAGAGTGAGGGTCAGCAGGACGCGAAGGAGGATGACAATGGTGTGAAGAGGAGCGTAAGGGGTCTGGCGGCGGGGGGGGGCAGAGATGTAACGCACCAGGGGGAGTGAGGGGAGGCGAGATCGAGGAGCAAAAGGAGGAGGATGAGCAGAATGAGGGGAAGGGGATGCGGCTGGGCTGAGCAGCTGGAGGGGGCGATGAGGAGTGAGAATCCCCCCCTCTCCCCCGTTCTCTCTTTCGTGCTCCCGCCGACGCCTCACCCTCCTCCACGTAATTTCTCCTTGCTGCCCTCGTCGCTCCCACTGCCCTCCGCCCTCCCCTCTCCGCCTCTGCTCCCAGTGGGCGAGGGCCAGGGTGGCCAGGAGGAGCATGAGAGGAGCGAGGCGAACGTGGACCCCAGCCGAAGCTGGAGGCGCTTTTATCCCTCCTCCTGCTCCTCCTCCTCCTCCTCCTCCTCCTCCTCCTCCACGTCCTCCTCCTCCTCCACGTCCTCCTCCTCCTCCTCCACCTCCTCCTCCTCCACCTCCTCCTCCTCCATCCTCCTTCCTCCTCCTCCACCTCCCCTCCTCCTCCTCCCCCCTCCTCCTCCTCCTCCTCCTCCTCCTCCTCCTCCTCCTCCTCCTCCTCCTCCTCCTCCTCCTCCCCCCTCCGTGTGACCCCGGAAGATGCCAACCACAGTGCGAAGGGGTATCCATGACGTTCTTCGTGCTTGGGCCCTCCACCTTTGCATGGCTTTCGTTGGGCGCATCTCCGGGGGACCTCGAGCTCTCGGCGAAATGGCTCGTGTTCGTGATGGGCGTTCTTGTCTCCATGTTTCGACTGTGCAGTGGAGACCCATGCCACGAAACACCCTGCTTGCCTCCAGGGTGCCCTGGGGTCCTTGGGTTTCGATGGTCTTGCTATGGAGAGCGCGATGTTCCCACATCAGAACTCAATCGACGCCCTGGCGTCTCAGGGTTGGGTTCCTTTCGAAAGGATTCTCCTCAGCCGAGCGTGGCGGATGCAAACGAGCACAACGAACTCAGAAATCCCAGTGTGGAGCGAGACTATAGAAAAAACGAGAACACGCGCACGTGCATGTTGAAGCTCACCATTTCGGACGCCAGCGCAGCAAGCTGCCGCGCGCATCCTGCCCTGGCGAACTACCGGGGCGAGATTCCTGCGAGGCGGGATGCGAAGGAGCGGCCCGAGCCGATTCGGGCGAGACAGTAATCGTTCTGCGTGGCGTGAACAACCCACAGGATTCGGGCCGATTGCAGGTTGCCCCCACCGTACCCTGGACCCCAAGACTGGTGTGCAGTGCCTGCCTGCCGAGGCCTGGAGGGCGCAGGCACCGATCCTGGGCCCAGGATGGGTCTGGCCAGGATCGCTGTAGGTGTGCAGGTGGTGCCCTCCCAACTCGGCCCTGATTGGTAGGTCGACCATGCCGCATCGAGGGTACCGTCGTGTCCTGTCTATCACGGCCTATCCAGCACGCACGTCCTGTGGTGTCTTGGGGCCGCGTTGCAGTCGTCAGAGTCCTGTGCTCTCACGCGTGCCCTGTCCAATTGAGTCCGATGGTGTGCCCCCACCCCACCTCCGCCGTGCTCTCGCCGCCCCCCCCAGCGCGCCCGGCAGGACCTGATGGTCCAGGCTGTCGAGGAGCCCCGCGCAGGAGGGAGGGAGGGCACCGCCATTCCATGGTCAGGACGCGGAAGATGGGGGCCACCTCGGGCTCGGGAGGTGCAGATCGGGGAGCCCCTCCGCGGCCGAGGCTCGCCGTGGCCAGGACATCCTCACCCTTCCCTGTTCGGCGTGGCAGCGCGATGGCTGCACACGCCTTCGACGAGCGTTTCGGGCAGCTTTTTCGGGGTGTCTGTCGGAGGGGGGCAGACTGCCGGTCCGATGCTGCTGCCTGGCCCCCGTAGCGAGGGCGGGCCTCGTCCCGAGGCTTGTGTCAGCGCGCGCCCTGGGAGAGCCCGGGGCGTCTTTGAGTCTCGGGCCAATCAAGACGCGATCTCCATCAGCGGGCCGGACTCCTCTTGGGTCCCCGCGTATGGAGAAACTCGGTGCCTCGGAGGTCTCTGGAGAGGAGGGAGGCCCGAGAGGGTGGGAGCGAGGGCATGGGCAGGCGGGAGAGGGGGGGTGCGATGGAGAGGTAGGGTTCATGAGAGCGGGGCGGCGGACCAGGCAGAGCGAAGCAGGAAGGCATGGTATGCACGGCGAGCGGGAGAATGTCGGCGGCCACAGATCAAGATACATCCTGGAGTTCCGGTGTCGGGTTTCTCGTGGAGGTTTCTAGTGGTCGAGCTCATACTGTAGGCTCAGGAGGAAGAGGATGAGGAGGAGGAGGAGGAAGAGGAGGAGGCGGCAAAAGCATGTGGGGGGGGGGAGGAGCAGAAGCAGGAGGAGGAGGAGGAGGAGGAGGAGGAGGAGGAGGAGGAGGAGCCAGTCGCTCATTCGTCGCCGACGGGGTCTGACTGCCCACCCCGCCCAGGACTGTGCGGTTTCGTCGGCGGGGTCGTGCCGCCGATGCGTCGGCGAGGTGTCGGCGATTGCAGCTCGATGTCCTCCCCCCCCCTGAGCTGGTGCCCCCTGACGTTGCCCCTCAGGTGAGGGGACTCCAGGCCAGGGCTCGAGCCCCATAATGGTTCCCGTGTCGTTCTGTTCTCGCTCTCCCTCGTTCGATGCTCGCCCCCCCTGAGGATCGATGCTCGATGTTCTCCCCCCCCCCGCGGCGGTCCCCAGCGTTTTTCCTGAGCCCGCCGGAGCGGCCCCGCTTCCCCCCGAGGACTTCTGCAGGCAAACGGGCGAGGAGGCCTTCCGCGAGGCTCCCGGCGCGTCCCCCTCCCCCCGTGGTCGGGCTGTAAGAGACGGAGGTCGATGCAATCGGGGGGTTGCTGGAGCGCCAGATCTTGCAGGCTCCTGCAAAAGCAAGGGTTGCACTCACACGGGCCAGCGCGGAGGATCCTGCAAAGCCTGACTGACACGGGCTTGGACTGACCCGGATCAGTAGGTGCCCGACTTGGCGGGGGCCCTGACAGCAGGGTCGGTGTTAGGGGGGATACGCTCAGAGGGCGTCGTCAGGGGCAGCGCTAGGGGGGACAGGCTCACGCGGGGGGGCGCGCTAGGGGGCAGCGCTAGGGGGGGGAGTTCGACAAGTTTTGGGAGTTCCCGGAAGTTTCCGAAGCCCGGGGTGCTCTCCATCAGCTGCGCCTCGTCGATGGCGTCTTGGGGGTGCCGCAGTTGTCCCGAGCAGCCGCTGGAGAGCCGAGGGGCAATGCTAGGGGGGGATGGGCTCAGGGGCGAATGCGTCGACCCCCAATCGCCCACTCGTCGCGGATTGGGGCCTGATAGCCCAGCCCGCTGAGGCCCGTGCGATTCCGCTTATAATCGGGGGCCAATCGCCGATCCAGTCTTCCAAGATGAGGTCAGAGTGGAGTGGTTCGGATGGACGCGACGCATCCTCGATGCGTCGGCGATGCGGCTCGATGCGGAGTTCGATTCTCTCCGCGCCGATGCATCGCCGGTGCATCTGCGATGTGACGCGATCCTCTGACCCGGACCTGCTCGGATCCCATCTTGGAGGCCTCCATCCTAGGGTTTGGTCTGGGTCAAGAGGGGCGCGAAGAAGTCGCGTGCCAGACGCCTCCTCTATGACGATCATTGAGGTCATTTGAGTTGCTGCAACTTCCACTCATTACCCCGCGCAGGCTTTCGTGGGCTCTTGGGAGGCCCAGCGGAGGTGGGTCCCACGCGGATCACCTCGAGACCTCGCGGTGCCCTGGGGGCTGCGATCTGTGCAACTGTCGCCACTTCCGTGGGCTCCTGGGAGGCCCAGCGGAGGTGGGTCCCACGCGGATCACCTCGGGACCTCGCCGCCCCCTGGGGGGCTTGCGATCTGGACAATTGTCGCCACTTTCGTGGGCTCCTGGGAGGCCCAGCGGAGGTGGGTCCCACGCGGATCACCTCGAGACCTCGCCGCCCCCTGGGGGGCTTACGATCTGCGCAACTGTCGCCACTTTCGTGGGCTCCTGGGAGGCCCAGCGGAGGTGGGTCCCACGCGAATCACTTCGGGACTTCGCCGCCCCCTAGGGGGCTTGCGATCTGGACAATTGTCGCCACTTTCGTGCGCTCCTGGGAGGCCCAGCGGAGGTGGGTCCCACGCGGATCACCTCGGGACCTCGCCGCCCCCTGGGGGGCTTGCGATCTGCGCATCTGTCGCCACTTTCGTGGGCTCCTGGGAGGCCCAGCGGAGGTACGTCCCACGTGGATCATTTGGAGGTACGTCATACGCGTTTCTTTCAACGCCCCTGTGTTTCCATTTTGTATGGTTGCCGTGCCTCTTCTTGCTGCGCTCTTCTGAAATCACTGTTGGGTGCTCTTCTTGCGCACTGCGGGTCCTTCAGAATGCCAGTCGGCATTGAGTGGTCCTGAGTATCATCGCCACATGTATAGAAAGGGTTGGGTACGTCACAGGGTAATTCCTCTCTCTCTCTCTCTCTCCTTCTTCCTCTCCCCCTCTCTTTCTTCTGTATTGATGCACTGGCCTTCGGCCTGTCCCACCGCCGTGCCCGGATTGTGGGTCAGATGCTTCCTGGCTTCAAATGAGGGTCTCCTGGCGCTCCTTAGACTGTACCGCGTGCGCTGCGCCGCCAGGGGCCCCGCCCGCCACGGCGGGTCAGAATACCGCGTCGTCTTGCTTCGCCAGTGCTTGCACCACGTAGTTTGCATTAAGTCGGGCATGTCCCTCTACAGGAGGAATATCCAAACACTGTTGAAACACAGTCAGAGGACTGTGTTTTGACTGTTATTTGGTATTTTGGGCGAATGTTTGGGGTATTTGAAATTTTCAGTCAAAAAACCGCCTGTATGGGGACACGCCCGACCCAAACGTAGTTTGCACCACATACATCGTCTCCCACATATCGTATCACATCTAGTACGCATTGAGAGTGCAATCGCCCATTGGTCAGGGTCCACGCTGTCAAGCATTATGTGGCTCGCGTGTCCTGGCTTGTCCGAATCATCCTGTGGTGTTGGGTCCTCGTTTTGACGAGACAGCGCCCCGCGTTCCTCCTCCTCCTCCTCCCCCTCCGCCCACCCCCTCCTCCCACCTTTGCCTCCGCCCTGTGCATGTCCACCATCTCAGCGCACCCAGTACAGTGCTTCGTGGCTCCAAAAGGGAGCTCCACCGAAGGCCCCAGTGGCTGTGACCACATTCGTCCGCGCCACCCAGTCAAGCGCTTCGTGGCCACATGGGCCGAAGGCCCCACTGGCTGTGACCACGTGCGTCCCGCGCCACCCAGTACCGCGTTCCGTGGCCCCACAGGGGTCTCCTCTGAAGGCCCCAGTGGTTGTGACCACATGCGTCCCGCTCCACCCAGTACAGCGCTTCGTGGCCCCATAGGGAGCGCCGCCGAAGGCCTCAGTGGCTGTGACCACATGCGTCCCGCGCCACCCAGTACTGCGCTTCGTGGCTTCATAGGGAGCTCCGCCAAAGGCCTCAGTGGCTGTGACCACATGCGTCCCGCTCCACCCAGTACTGCGCTTCGTGGCCCCATAGAGAACTTTGCCGAAGGCCCCAGTGGCTGTGACCACATGCGTCCCGCGCCACCCAGAACGGCGTCCCGTGGCCCCATAGAGAGCTCCGCCGAAGGCCCCAGTGGCTGTGACCACATGCGTCCCGCCCCACCCAGTACGGCGTTCCGTGGCCCCATAGGGAGTTCCGCGGAAGGCCCCAGTGGCTGTGACCACATGCGTCCTTTGCCACAAAGGCTCCAGTGTCAGTAATATTGTGCGTACCCGCCACCCATTTGTGCACACCCTTCACACGTTTCGTGGCCCCATAGGGAGCGCCACCGCAGGCCCCAATTGTTGTGACCACATGCGTCCCCGCCACACATGTTTGCACAGGACTCACACGCTTCGTGGCCCAATGGGGAGCTCCACCCAATGCCCAAGTGGCTGTGATCACATGCGCCCCCGCCACCCATGGCCCATGTCGGCACAACCCTCACACCTTTCGTGGTCCCAGAAGGAGCGCCACCGACAGCCCCAGTGGCTGTGGCCATCTGTCCCCCCCCAACCCATTTCGGCACACCACTCACAAGCTTCGTGGCCCTCACAAACCGAAGTCCCCGATGGCTGTGATTACATGCGCACCCGCCATGTATTTCGGCACGGCACTCACATGTTCCGTGGCCCCATAGGGAGCGCCACCGAAAGCCCCAGGGGCAGTGACCACGTGCCTCCTCGCCACCCATTTCGGCACAGCGCTCACACGTGTTGCGGCCACAGAGGGAGCTCCATCGGAAGGCCCAATGGCTGTGACCACGTGCGTCCCCGTTTCGGCACGCTCCTCTCACGTTTCGTGGCCCCAATGGTTGTGACCACATGCGTCCCCGCCAACAATGTCGGCACGCTCCTCACACGTTCCGTGGCCCCATAGGGAGCTCCACCGAAAGTCCCAGTGGCGTTGACTTTATGCGTACCAGCCATCAATTCAGGCACAGTGCTCACACGTATCGTGGCCCCATAGGGGGTTCCACGGGAGGCCCCAATGGTTGTGACTACATGCGTCCACTCCACCCATGTCGGCACCACCCTCGCACGTTTCGTGGCCCCATACGGAGCGCCACCGAACGCCCCAGTGGCTGTGACCACATGCGCCCCCGCCATTTATTTATGCACACCCCTCAGATGCTTGGTGGCCCCAGAAGGTTTCCCGCCACCCATTCTCACACATTGCGTGGCCCCATAGGGAGCGCCACCGAAGGCCCCAATGGCTGTGACCACATGCGTTCCCGCCACCCATGTCGGCACAGCCCTCACACGCTTTGTGACCTTATATAGAGCGCCACCGACGAGACTATGCACCACTGCGGTACCCACAACTGCGTAATCGTAGGTTCTTCGCCAGGGGAATTCACGCACGTTGCCTCTCCTTCTCTCTTTCTCTCTATTGGTTTGCGCACACATTCAGATCATTACGTATATGATGTTCTACCTTTGCCCTTCATTTTTCTTAGATCTTGCATTGTATATTACTGAGCCACTTGCATTATTTTCGAGGCTTGATCCCCACTCCTTAGCGAAGACGCCTATGGCGAATCACCACCGCCCCCTGCCTTATGGTTCCGTCCATGTGGCCAGACGTTGTGGCCAGAGCTTTTCCAAACTATCGGACAATGTTTTCCCCCAACCGTTCTGGAACCCTTTTCGGGAAACACGCGGGAGAGAAAGCAGACACGGAGGAGAGGGAGGAACTATCCATAGGAGAAGAGAGGAGGATGAGGAGGAGGAGGAGGAGGAGGAGGAGAAGGAGGATGAGGAAGAGGACGAGGCGGAATACTAATAAGACTAAGAAGAAGAAGCAGACGACGAATAAGGAGACGAATAAGAATAATATGAATAATGATAATACGAATAACCATACGAATTCCAATAATAATAATACGAAGAAGAAGCATCCGAATAATAATAATAACAATAATAATCAGCCGAATAATAAGAATAATAATACCAAGACGGCACCTGAGAACAATGATACGAACACTAAGGATAATAATAATACTGATAATAATAATGAGAATAATAAGAAGAATATCAAGAGTATTATTAATACTGATAGTAATGCTAATAATACTACTACGAAGGATAATACTAATAAGAATAAGAAGAAGAAGAAGAAGAAGAAGAAGAAGAAGAAGAAGAAGAAGAAGAAGAAGAAGAATAAGAAGAAGAAGAAGAAGAAGAATAAGAAAAATAATAATAAGAAGAAGAAGAGGAGGATGAGGAGGAGGAAAAGGAGGAGGAAAAGGAGGAGGAGGA